ACAATCTCGTGAAATGCAAAGGTGCCTGTGTTTGTTTAAACTATTTTATACTATTAAGTCAATCGTAACGAATGTATATTGAGGAAATATAAAAAACTTGTTAATATAGAGGGAATGATTCATTTGAGATGGGGTTATTTTTGTGATATGGCGATGTGTTTCTGGCAAACACATTTTGGAGGCTAAAATTTTTAAAAAAAGGTTTAGAAAGTTTATATGGTATTAATTTTCATCATTTTTAATATCCAAAAAAATATAAAATAATAATCTGAATTCATACATTGGGCAGGATTTGGTGACGGTTGGACACTTGGGAATTACTTGGATATCTAAAATTGTGAATGTTATGAATGTTTGTAAACATTTTAGGAAGCTTTTCACATGAGAGTTGGGTCTTCGATTTTATATGGTATTTGTGTGATGATTCACTTGTACCTAGTAATTCGTACTAGTTTTCAAGTATCTACTCCATAAACATATTTTCCCTTGGGATTACCTTGGGAGTCTGTAAGAGCGAGGGAGGTTGGCTTGTAAGTTTGAGATGACTCGTAAATTGATTTTCATATACATTGTTTGACTTTTGATGAACTTTAGAATTTGTTGGTTTATAACAATATATTTAATATTTTTACTTTAGGATGTTTTTTCCTCAATTTTGATTTTGAAGCTTTTGATGATGTTTTGAGAAAAAAAAAAAGCAAGGGCTTTGAGCCTTGGACAATATATATTTTGTATTATGTTCTCCTTTTATATTGTTTTGGAATGTCTAGCCCTTAGGTTTTCATTAGACTTTAGGCTAATACACCATTTTGAGATGTACTCACGTCAACAGCGGTCTTATAATGATATTTTGGAAATTCAAAGAACTTTTTTTGGAAATGAAAAATATCATTAAAAAGCACACGCTAGCAAGAAGCTAGGCGAGGCAAAAGTACAATACAATAGAAGAAATGAAAAAACAATGACAATGAGATAATTAGGATAGATGAATAAAAGGCGAAAAACTCCAATCAACCTAATTGCTTATGTATTTACACCACACATAGGATAAGGAGATAATGTTGTGGGCACACCAGTTTTCTTGAAAACTTTGTCGTTTCTAACCATCCAAATGATCCAAATAAAACAGTAGAACACCATACTTAAATTCAACTTTTTTCTAGGACAATTCCCCCACGTTGCTGCAAAATTGATGAAGTCTCTAACCCCAGAAAAACTCTTGTGGAATACCACACCAATTGAAAATCATTTCTTGCATAGCTTTAGAGTACTTACAGATAATGAGAAGGTGATCAGATGATTCTATCTCCATATTGCACAGTGGGTAAATAGTGTTAGGAAGGTTAATTCCTCTTATAGCCAAAGCATCCGCCACTGGAATTCTACCCAGTGACGCTTTCCATATGAAACATCGCACCTTTAGTGAGATTATCTTCGCCCAACAGATATTATAAGAAGGTGATTCAAAGAACTTAGGTCTCGTTTGTTTTTCTACAAAAGTACTTTTTGAGCATTTTTCCCTTCTGGCGGGTAAACGTTTCTCAAATGCACGTCTTCTTCCGCAAACATGGAAAAAGACAAAAGACATTTAACCACTTCCAAAACAAACAACATTTTAGTATGGATAATTAGAAGACTTTTGTAATGTTTGAAATAGTTAAATGTCGTGATGATATCGTGTCTATTACATTGATTGTGATGATATGAGCAAGAGCATATTGAAGGCATGATCGAGGAATTAATATCAATTTCAGCTTTCCAAAATTTGATATACCTGCCAAATTTAGATCCTTCTATATAAAGGGTTTTGTAACCATTTCATATGCATCTATAATTTAATAATGAAAATATTTCGTTGTTCTTGCTTTCGTTTGGGTCATATGCCTTGGCATACTCCTTTGATAAATTGTTTGTAGTGTTGAAAACTTGGATGTTATATGGGACTTGTTTTTACAAAATGAAATTTATTTTAGTTTACATAAAAAAATAATATTGCACACAATAAAATCTGATTCAAAACGTTATTATTTGCATTTAATCGATTAACGACTTCTTCTATCATTCATCTTACTAATACTTTTGTTTAGCTTTCAAACAAAGTGCACTATATTCAGAACTACAATATCGACATTTTTGGCGCAAACTTTCGATAAAGTACAATGAAAGTCAAATCGTCACAAAAATGGCGCCGTTGATGGAAGAAAAAAATGAATCAAAATGAATGTAGAAAAGGCAATAATCACCGCCGGCAACAATCCTACCGGAGATTGACGACTTCCGACGGAACGTCTGGGCAATCTTCTAGGCAACGCACATTCTTCCCCGTTAAAGATTACCTTCGTCGGAAATCCATCTCCACCTGCAACACGAATTCCCGGCGTGTTTTTTTTCAAAAAAGATATCACCGATTGTTGCTTTCCCGGCACCGGTGGTTCCCCTGGTTTTGACCCGTTCGTCAACCCGATCAAGTAATTCAAACCCGGAAACCCCTTCATGAAAATCATCTTGTTCACCTTTCCCAGTTTCGTTCCATTGAACGAGTAAACATTCTCGTACCCAACAAACGCTTTCTTCAACTGAACGGCGAGAAACCAGTCCTCAAACGGCCGGCGTTGCCAATTGAACATCGTTATCCTCGCCGACCACCCGGTTTTGTAATCACTATCGAGATGCCAGTTCACGCTCATCGGACAATTATCCGGGCACGGCAGCTTTTTTGGTAAATCTATGTGTTTGATTTTCGCCCAAGCTTTTGCTTTAATCGTCCGATTAGCAAACGGAACTAGTAGCGCCTCCGCCGGAAGCGGCAGCGCTCTCGCATCCTTGTCGCATTTTCTGGTGTCTTCGTCTTCACAACCACACGCACACGTGTTGCATGGAACCACTGAATCAGCGTAATACGCCGAAAATGATACACAACACTTCGCCATTTTCGGTTTAGGTTTTGTTATGTTGCAGGTGATTTGATAACTAGCTATGGCGGAGATCGTGGCTTCGACGCCACTCGGGTCTGGTGTCTCCGTCGGGTCGACCCGGATCGGTTGACTACACTTGTAATGCGGGTTCACCACGCCTTTGATGTTCCAATTTTGAGGTGGATTTATTGCAGTTCGGTTTAAATCAGGAGGAAGTTTGAACACATTCATCTGAAAAACCGATTTCGCTTTAGTTGCGTTCATAATTTTCGATAGAATCTGTCCACCCCGGCAACAAAAAGGTAACTTTCCGACGTTGTCGTCGTCTTTCATGGTGGACGGAAGGTCGGAGATGGTTGGTTTTTTCTGACAGTTCATGACCTTTGAGAAATCCATATCTTGATAGTATCCTCCGGCAGCGCTGTAAAGGCATTCAGAAGGATCTTTCTTCCGAGTGAAAGCACCTCGCATGTCGTAAATAAACTCATTTCGCATCCATTCGAAGGTCAAGTTCCAATGATCGAGGCGTCCTAGAGGGTGGTGGTTGTCGATGGTGACCTGAGCTATGTAATTACCCTTAAACGACTGTATAATATCATATGTGAACGAAAGATCAGCTTTTCGACGTGGGAAAAATTTCAAGAGCTTCTTCTTCGGTTTAAATTTGGGATCTTTTGTGCAACATACGTGCATCGATTGTCCTGTTTCATTAACAGAGCAACATTAGTAACAGAAAATGCATATCATTTACTCCGGTGAAAGATACAGTGAGTCAGAGATAATCACGTACTGGCTTTGGTTGTTGCTTTAGGGCATTTAAAGCCTTCGTTTTCGAGTTTAATGTTTGAAGGCATGACATTGCCGCCGAGTTTCACCCCAAACATCGTCCCCTTGATCTTAACCTTCGCCGCCATCTGAGTCAAATCTCCGGCGGTATCAATGGCGGTTCTCAAATCCGCCTGTGGGTATCCAGTCAGGTGAGTTCCATTCTTCCCCACCTTCATCGGAAAACTGTCACCGTTGAGAATCGTCGCTCCGTCAACCGACACTAAGATCTCGTCGTGCTGGAAACCGATAAACGCCTGCCATGTTTTCAACTCGGTGGCGCCGGTGTTGACGACGGTTAACTGAGACTTGAAAGCCCATGGCTGTGCGGTGGCGTTCTTGAGACGTGGGTATTCTTTCTGTCGCGAATCGAAGCTGTATTGTAAGAAGATCCCATTACAGGCGTCGACCTCCTTTGGTAAGGTGATCGGAGTTTCTCCATCATCTTGAGCGTTACATATATGGAAAAGCAATAGGAGAAGCCATGATTTCCATGACATTCTCATGTCCTTGATTTGTTCCTCGTTTCAGTGTGGGTTGAAGACTGGAGATTAGAGGTGGTGGTAAGTTTTGAGTGGTGAAATGGTGGAGATCCGATCACCGGCGTACGGCGGAGGAGAATTGTTGGAGTGATGATATAATTAGAAAGGAAATAAGGTTGGGGGAGTGAGACCTGTTCAGCTTGCATTCTCTTCCCCAGTTTTAGCGCTTAATTAGGAAAGAGATGTAAAACAGTGTCATGATAATTTGATAATGGTTTTGCTGTATTTACAAATTTTGTCCTTTATTTTAGGTCGTTTATGCAGTTTTAGTCTTAAAGTTTTGTTTTCTTAAGTTTGGTCCCAAATATTTCTTAATACAATTTAATCCTTTATTATTATTCTTATTATCATTAATTTTCAAACTTATTTTTATAAGATATATAATACACTAATAATAAAGTTAGTGAACAATGATTTGGGTGCTCCGGCAACACTATTTTCTGACGAACGAGCATTCGAACAAATACTATTTTCCGATAGCATATTTTCTAACATCTATTTATTTAGTTTAGTGTTTATATTTTCTAAAAGTGTTATTTTTTTAAGTTGTACATAAATACAATTTTTACAAAAATTCTAAAATAGAAAAATAGAAAAAAAACTATTTATTAAATATATTGAGAAAATGTGATATGTTTAAAAAGAGTGATAATATTCGGCTTAGAGAGATAGTGAGAGAAAAAAAAATATGTATTTTTTGGTTCTATAAAAAAGAGGCGACAACAAATGTTTTGGTTCTATAAAAAGGAGGCGACAGACATACTAAAAAAAGATATATCATCCCTGTTTATATTTTTCTATAGTGTGTGCTTATCTATTTCACATATTAAAAATATTTACTATAAGTAGAAGTTTTCATCAAAAAAAAGTTATAAACACAAAGTTTTTACTATCATTTAAGTAATTGCGAGTTGGGAAAAGTATGTTCAATTCAATGATCAACCGAATTATGAGGTATTTTCATACAACTGTTATTTTTTTATTTTTATTTTTTGTAAGTTGTAACTTGTAGTGTGTGTTTCGTGTAGACAAATAATGTTCATACAAACGCATGTGAAGATTGTGAAAAGTATTTTCGATTCAACAATCAAACCATTTTTGAAGTATTTTTATATAAGTGTTTTTATTTTAAAAATTGTTTTTTTTATAAGTTGTAAATTGTAATGTGTGTTTTGTGTAGATGAATAATGTTGATACAAACGTATATGAAGGCAAAAGGAATGAAAACGAGAAAGAAAATAGTTACTTCATCAATGACTCAAGTTTTCAAACTAATATCGTATAAAATTTCAGTTCATTAACATATATTTGCAATAAGGTTGTCATTTAGAAGATTGCTAGTTATTGATTATTATATCATTTTCAGGTGTTCAATTCTTGCTTCTTATATTCTAAATGATCACATCAGCAAATGTTTTGGTTCTATAAAAAAGAGAGCATAGACATACTAAAAAGAGATATCATAATGTTTTTATTTTTCTATAGTGTATGCTTATCTATTTTCACATATTAAAAATACTTACTATAAGTAGAAGTTTTCATCAAAGAAAGTTATAAACACAAGGTTTTTATTATCATTTAAGTAATGATAAGTTGGGAAGAGTATGTTCAATTCAATGATCAAC